AGTCGAGAATGGTACAACGAAACGTCTTCTTTCTTTAATAATTTAATGAACTGTCAGAGCTCACTACCACCTCCTAAAATAAAATCCTGGTAATTACCCGCTTGAGAGGATAATAACCCAGGTAGCAAGCTCATGTGGGCCCCGCATGGGTCCCATATTCTCTGAAATGTTATCTTTATTGAGGGTGACTTGAAAAAGTTAATAACTTGGAAGGGAGGGGTGCAACCTGCCACACGCTTCTACCTCTTGGTTGCTTCGATCCATTGCCGAAAATATTTTGGCCCCTTTCATCCCCCCCCCCCCAACCACGGATACAAATCGACACCCCTGCCTTAAAGGATTATCTAAAGAGTTCCCATCTCAACATAGAAATGCAGGAACTGCAAGCAAACTGCCAAACTGTTAGCGACTGTCGTCGCTGTTGGCGAACTGCCATTACGTAGATAACAACTGTCGTCTTCCCCTTCTTCTCCAAACTATTTCTTCTAGTCTCGTCACAAGTCTTAAACATAACTTTCAGAACAAGAAAAGAGTCATTCCATGACACCATTGATAAAAATTGATCAACCTCAACAAATTACTTGAACCATAGAGGCTACTTTGAGGATGATAATGACATATCGAGGGAAGATAGAACTGTGGTAAATGAGGTCTTCTTGTAGACTCGGATGCTTTGCCCGTTACGGATGGCGAGTAGACAGCCAGTACTTGTCACAATTGGTTCGGAAAATGACCCTGGATACAGAGTGAAACAAATATGAACAGGGGGAAATCAAACGGCATGGGAATTTGAAAAGGGTTATTCACAATAACCATATAATTAATTTCCCTTCCCGCTATATCCCCTATCCTTTTTTCTTTTTTTTCATACTTCATCTGTCTTTTTACAAATCTGAAGTGGCTGTTGATCGCAATTGCACAGAAAAATAGTTATGAAACATACGTCCACAAAATGCTAGAATAATGTGAGAGATAATAATGTATAGGCTACACAACGAGCTTACCTTTCACTTTGTACTCCAAAACACCTTTCCTGATGATAGTCCCATCTAGTGCAACCTCGTCCATTCTGACGATATCACTGGCTTCTGGTTGGTAGCTCACATACAAGATGTCATCCAAAGGATCGGTTCCGCAAAGAGCATAGCCCCATTCTTTATGGTAGATTGTGGCGTCTTCGGTGCCATATTCGTTGATCACCGTGAACTCTGCTGGACCTGTGTCGACGACGAACTTCCCACCGGGTGTTACATGGAGCTTACCACCGATCTTCTTACTGCTTAGCCCGATCTTCCTCTTCTTTAGTCCAATCGTCTTCTGCTCCAGGTTATTTCCTGGTGTGCCTAAGTGACCTTTGACCTTGATGATGCTGTCAGCCCCATCATAAGCAACCATAAGGGCGCCTTTCTTATTCTCAGCTGCATAGACCGCCACAGGTTCATCCGTCTTGTAGTCCAACACTATTGGTGTCCCGTTCGTTGATGCCTCGTCCAGGTCAATTTGCGAGAGGTGTGCCTCATATTGCAACTCTGTCTTAGTGTTTTCACATGTTAAGATATTTTTGCCATTTGAGACACAGTCGGTGTAGTTACCTTTACCTTGAGATATGGGTTTTGATTCACCATTTTTGAGGTTCATCGCATGAACGGACCCTGATGCCACATCGATGTAAACAACTGTATCACCTCCAACGTAAGAACATGGCCACGGGTCGTGATTGAGGGGGTATTCCTGCTTCAATGTCCAAATGGTTGAAACCAGATTATTCTCTCTCAGCTTGTCTCTTCGGTCAGAGACGGCCCACACAATTTGATCTACATGAGAGTCAAGCTGTTCCAGTGCCTTCATCGTCACGTCGGGTGATGGGATACTATCATCTAATGTCCACTCTCTTGTCTCATCTCCAGGAACAGAAAGAGATTTTGCCTGGCCACTACTTTTGGCCACACCTGGTCCATGCAGAGCAGCAACAACCGCATTTGTCTTTGTCGTACTTGCGTCCTGTAGAACTGACAATTTATTCATGATATTATCTTTGGCTTTTTGAACACGTTCCTCGTCTTTCTTCGCTTCTATATTGTTGCAATTCAGCTGTGCCTCCTTTAGTCTCTCTATTTCCTCGATTTTGACTTGTGCATCTTTCCTTATTTTGTCTTCTTTCTGCTGACGGGTATTTTCGATCTTCGTCTGGCTCTCTCCCGTAGACGTATTGACGCCCAGCCGTACGGTCTGGAAATGTTGCTGAATTCTGGCAATGCTCTTGTCAGCAAAGTTCTGAAACTGACACCGTTCGTCCTCTTTGATCTTGATATGCTTAAGTCGTTCTTCATCATCGTCTTTGCGCTTTTGGATGACTTTCTTGAGTTCATCCTTCTCATGCGATGAGTGTGATGTCAATCCACACATCATACAAATTTCTCGCTTGCAGGTGTTGCAGAAAAGTTCCACTTTCCTGTCACTGTGATCGTCGCACATACGACTGTTCGGATCCGACGGTTCAGGGACGTTTTTCCGACATTTGTCGCAAAGATGCATCCTGGTTGTGACTAAATAAGATAGATGGGAGCCTTCTTTCGGAGGGTCGCCACATTCTCCGCAACGTACTTTCTTATCAAACCCTACCGACATCTTGTATTAGTACACGGGACCTTACTATAACTGTGCGCTGCCGCATGTAAGCTGGGATCCAGAATCAATAATGAAAACATCCAGATAGTCACCCTGGGCTTGTGCGATTCTTGTTTTGTTAGAAATTCCATGGGAGAAAGAGATGGGATTCCCCATGTTTTTTTTAAATAACCTTGTTTCATTTTCACTGTCAATATTAATTCAATTGCTTGCATTTATTGTTAGTCGAAGCGTAATGATACTGAAGAGAGCTAGTGTCCCGTTTGAATAGAGTATAAAGGTGAAGTCCTATTTTGAGCTGATGAGTCATTTTGGGGGGATCTTTTTCTGACATTTCGTGCTGTTTGTGAAGAAAGCAAAGAAAGGTTCTTTATTGAAATCTCAGTTACGGAATTCATTACTTAATGAATCATAAATGTACGCTGTTAAATATCTCATGTGGCGCCATATTATTCTAATGTGGGCGAACATCAAGAACAGCGGCGTAGATACGGGAGGGGATTGGAAGGCACCCACCCCCCCCCCCCATCGAATCCCCCTCAAAAAAAAATTAATAAAAGTAATAATGATGATAATAATAATAAATAAATAGATAAATAAAGAGGTGAGAGCGAGGGGAGAGATGAAGGAAAAGGAAAAAGGCCATGATAAAATATAATGAGAAAGATTGCTCACAAACTCTCTTCAAAGATTATAATAATTATTATGTCAGATGAGCATAATTATTTAGATACCTTATTTTTGACACTGGCAGGTCATTAATTGGCAGGGGTCCAGGGACAGAGCCCCCGGAATCTCAGAGGTTTTAGATATTTAATTACGGTTAGATGAACATCCAGGGCCCCACTAAGAGCCCTTGGTTGGGTCCAGGGGCAGAGCCCCCGCAAGCTCAGGGGTTTTAGGAATTTAATTACGGTCAGATGAGCATATTTTGATACCTCATTTGTGACATTGGCAGGTCACTTATTTTTTTCTCTCTCTCTCTTTCTTTCTTTTTCTCTGTAACATACTTTTTCAAAAAGTGAGGGGGGCTTCAGCCACCTAACCCAGCTGTTCTGCAGGACCTGACATGATCTCTTCTAAATAAGCATATTTTTCGCCCGACTGTAAATTTGGGAATTTCTAATTTTCCAACAAACGCATAAAAAAGCATGACTTACACAAAAATTGAGAACAAATATCGGAATATCATGTTATTTCAGCAACATTTGTAAATCACTGTTATCGAATTAGAAATCACATTTCACATTATGTATCAATGTGAACACTAAACGCATAACGATCATGCACCGCAAACAGGGGCGTACGCAGGATTTTTTCAAGGGTTTTTAAAAAATCGGGCCCAATATATTTTGCTCCCGAAAATTTGAAAATCGCCCGCCGGCCGAAAAGCCGCTCATTGGGGGGGGGGGGGGGGGGGGGGGGGGGGGGGGGGGGTAAGCGGACACTTCTTTTTTTTGGGGGGGGGGGGGAGTCCAAAAAAAATCGCAACGACTCTGCCAGCCGAAAAGTCGCTCAGTGGAGGGGGGGGGGGGGGGGGGGGGGGGTAAGCGGACAATGTTTTTTTGGTCTCAAAATTTGAAAATTTGACATTTTTTTTAGGTCACCTCTTTTAGGTTATAATTTTTTTTTTTTTTAATTTTATTTTTTTATAATTTAAACAAAAACAAAAACAAAAACAAAGGGGGGGATTAGGTTTTTTTTAGGGGGGTTTACACACATAAAAATACCAAAGGGGGGGTTTAACCCCAAAAACCCCCCCCCCCCCCCCCCCCTGTGTACGCCCCTGACCGCAAACATAATATATGCCACTTGAAATGCGGAAACAGAATAAACAAATTCTAGATTTGATTTTGATAAAATACTATTCGGCAATTAAGCATACTTTTTTGTGTGTTTTAGCTCTGAAATCAAATGAAAACTCAAACCTTTCCAGTGTTGTGTCATCATACACTCACTGAAGTGCATGTACATGTACTAGTTGGGGTCCAAACCTTTACTCATTGTTTGTGTAAACCTGCTATTGTACATCCCTTTTGTAGTTATCAAAACTTTCGCCAAAGTATATAAAAACAAATGAATTTCAAACATTTTTGTAATCCATCATGATTTGAAAATCTAGTGGCAACCCCCCCCCCCCCCCCCACCAACCATATAGGCTGAGCTATGATAGATAGACTTTATTTAAACTTTATGTTGAATAAATGATAAAATAATTAAAATAAAATATTTATTATGAACGTGCTTACAACTTGTTGTTATTATTATTTTTTTTGTATTATTATCATTGCAATGTAGTTGTGTTAATAACAATATTTTGAATTTTTAATATTTTAAATTTTATCATGATTTTAAAAATACTGGCATAAAAAATAAAAGCCTAACAGTATCGATAGCATAGATATAGCATTCAAGATCGCTTGCTATCCCGTTGTCAACTCAACTACTGACTTTCAGACATCAAACCGGCCCGTTTGAGGTAAGAATTTTGATACATTCCTGCCATCTTTATTGCTTTTTATATGATTATTTTTGTTGTAAAATGAGTATATGTCCATTTGTTTGGACAATTTGGTCGTATTTTATCGTAGAATATTGAATAAAATGACCTTGCAGAGCAGCGTGTCGCTTCAGCGATGAAACTGTCTGTGCCTGTGCCAGTGTGGGACAGTGAGGCCTCGCCTCGACTTCCCCACGCAATGATGATGCATGTCCCGTAACGTACGAGTACGTACGTGCTCTGGCTTCTTCTTGCATTTGATAACTGAATGCCATGTCGTAACGTAAGTGTTGCAGTTGCCATGTCAGATCTCGAATCTAGTGTTAGGGATGTCATGTGGATAAATCATCATGGACATTTGCATTTTCTCCTGCGGTCTTGATGTAGCGAACAAACTTGAGAACTTTGGCTTTGCGCATTGATTGAGCGCTGTACAGTGAGTGAGTTTACGCTCTCCCATTGGCCAATCCGCTCAAGTGGCTTCGAGTTTAAGTGAGAGAGGGCCTACTTAACTTAAGCGCAACTTAAGTTCAATGGCAATGCCAATGCTTAAAATTACATCACACCAAGGAGATTTCGACATGTCATGTTTTTTAAACAGGTGATGCACTTCACACATAGCTGACGCACACACATTATTTGTACCTCATAAAATAGACAAATCAACAAACATTTCAGAATAAATTTCCAGTTTGTACCTTAAATATGCAGTAAATGAGAATTCTTCAAACTCAAAAAAAGTTACGTAAGACTTAAGTCTACGTGAAAAAATTGTAACATTATTAAGCGGGTACCGGGTTTGACTGAAATATCATGAATTTGGTATCGGATCAAACAGAAAATTGCAAGTTTTCTCCTCGCACCAATAGCTTATAACATTGAATAAATGGTTGCCAGTGATAGCCAATAAGAAGGGCCCTTGTCGGCTATTCGCTGAGATCGGATGAACGTTATGTGCATGCACTAAATGTAAGCTAAAGTTCTACATACTTCTACGTGCACCGCCTACAATCTACATGTAGTAGTACAAATTCCGGCGCTAATTCAGAATCATCATTATTCATGCTTTGACCCATAATTCTGGCGTAGAGATACCGTACAGAAACATACCAAAAATCAACTAAATCTTCATCAATAATTCAATAATGGTCATGATTTAAAAGCCGTTATGTTTCTTATCTGTTTCGATCGTGTCAATTTTCTTATCTTTTTTGGAGTATTTTTCCACTGCAAACTGCTGCACAATACAATTGCAAACCGTACTGAAGGTGGGTGCGGCGCGTGCGGGCATGAAGTTAGCGACCGTAATGATGAATTTCTCACATGAATTTAATAAAGACTTGAAATTACAGCCGCACCCCGTCATCCGTACGCTAGACGGTATGCAATTGTATTGTACAGCTGTGAAACATGTGAGAAAGTGTATATTATCAGTCTTCGTTTCGGGGGAAAATACTCCAAAAAAAGATTTAAAAAATTGACATGAAACAGGTAAGAAACATTTACGACTTTTACATACACCATCTGAACAATTGATGAAGATTTAGTTGATTTTTTAGTATGTTTTAGTAGGGTATCTCCACGCCAGAGTTACGGGTCAAATTATGGATATGATTCTGAATTAGCGCCCAAATTCCAAATACAACTTACAACAATACAAGTGCAAACTACAAAACAACAACAACACAGTCGCCATTGTCACAGGAAATCTGCTAAACTGTGATCTGAGCTGAGTTCTTATTTATGTACATACGCTGTAATAAAAAACCAAGGCTTTCCGGAAGTTCATGTCATTGAAAAACAGAATTTGATTACATTTACAATTCACACCATCTTGAGTGGAAATTAGATATTCTACTATTGCTCTTTAGCAAGTTTAGGGAAGACTTTCTTTTGCGACAACCACCCAACTTGAAGAAGAAAAAAAATATTGGTACAGCTCAAACATGATAAACTAGGGTTAGATGGACAGAAGTCTGAACTATCTATAGCTAATATATCGCCGATCAATCTCAACTCGTTCTCGTAGATATATCGGGAGCATGCTGGACTGTAGACCGAAGGATCAGAAGCTCAAATCCACCCAGAGACTACGGTTTCTTGAAGTTTGAAGTTTGTGTGATGTGATGTTCTGTGCAATGTCAGAATGTTTGCTTTGATTGACAGCATGCAAGAGTATGAATAGATTGAAAGAGGAATGGAAGGAGAGAAGAAAGAATGTTGGCTAGAGGTGGCTGTCACAAAAAGAAATCTTTCCACTCTTTACAATTAAATTAGTCTCGAGCTTTTTACTTCAGAGTAAAATCTTTTCAGCCTAAAAAGTGGCGTGCAAAGGCTCAATTTGAGAATTATTTAAATATGTTATGAACGGAGGGCACAGCAATCTTCACTTTTTAGCTGGGTTGGCTTTAACAGCCTTAAAGGTAATACAAAGTTTTGGGAGATTTTTAAAATTGGCTGGATAGTGATTCTTTACAATTTTGATATATTTGGATGACCCTGTGGATGAAATATAAGCACTAGAAAATTTGGCCCTTAAAACACTTCTGCTTTCGAGAAAAATTGAATATCAAAATTTACCGGTGCTCCCGGTAAATTTTGATAAATTTCAAATAGCGCTTACGGCCATACAGTGGTACATGTAGCTGCGACCATGAAAATTTCAGAATATGTAGTTGTGATATCTAATTTCCAAACGGGAATAGCTAATCGGACGATTTTAGTCAGTAACCATTGTTGTATAGCTTAATTAATATCTTAATCTTAAAAGAGGGAGCTATACAACATAAAGAGTTTATCATTTACAATTTCATAACTTTAGACTCCATTTCAACCGCGACAACGATCACTGAATATTGTAGGATCGCATATGCTTCCAATATGTTCATTTGAACCAAAATGGCCTGCCATAGTTTAGTCTATTAAAGTTGAGCTTAGTCTTTGTGAAACACTCCACTGGTTTAATACCAAACTGTTGTTTCATCCACTTGGCTTCAGCAAAGTGAGCAAACCCATTTTCCATCTTAAAAGCAATGCACAAAGCGATCGCTCAGAGACTATGCTGACCAGTTTAAAATCCTGTCAGACAACCTAAATGCCTTTGTTCGTTTGTTACCTGCATTGTTGGTGCCTTGGTGACGATTCGTTTTACTCTTACTTTTATTTAAACGGCAGGGGGAAAAAATTGTAAAATTAATACATAAATACCTACCCTTTTTATTGTGGTGATTTTATGTCCTACTGCACAGCACTCTGTTCTCCTTGCCACAATAAATCATGTTTACGACAACAGTCGCCAAGAAATGGCGCTGCTCAGATTTTTTTTGATTTTTTTTTTTTTGCCGACGTTGTAGGAAGCACCCCATGCATGGTCCAGCCAGCAAGATGTAAGAGAACATCTTCCTGGTCCGGCTTACCGGCTACGAAAACCCATGCTATTTTACTGCGAGTTGCAATTGAAGGCTTGTGAACTGCTCACAAATAATAGTAAAAATGTTGTTTTTAGAACTAAAGATGACAGACAAATTATCCTCCAAGTTCAAACAGAAATCTGGATATTGGCAGCTAGTTTGGTCCTAGTTTCTGAGTGGTGAGTTGACAGTGACACCCTGTGTATGATTGAGCTGGGAAACATTTTTACTCACAGTACCATGACGGTGCTTTTCCGGGCACGGGTGAGCTTCGACCAGCCAGCACAGTGCAAGGTGGAGAAAAAAAATGGGCAAAAAAAAGTACATGTATTATCAGTAACAAGATAGATGGTTACTTGTCTTCTCTACATGGCACATCACTCCTAAATGAACATGTAGAAAGGTGTAGTTCTGTATGATAGACTATGTCAGTTTTAATGGAGACAAAGTGGCAAGAGGTATATCAATTAAAAGGGGCTTTTCATCACTTTAATGTGACAGGAGTCACAAGCACTCCCAAGTCATAATGTGAATGCATAGGTTCTATTAAAGCCACATGTGTTTCAGCATATGTACACTGTACACTGTACATGTAGGAAACAATTTTTGGCCACAAACCCAGGAAAACACTGCATCAGTTGAATTACAGCACCTAAGTTCCTCTTTGTGGTTAATACATGTACCGGTACTACATGTACATGTAGTGTCAGATTGCAGCCAAAATAAAAGGTGATTTAGACGGTCTTCTGATTTATGTGCGTACATGTACTTGACAAGATGCAGTACTTAAAAGCTTAGGTTTCATTAATATTTCAAGTTGCATACCATTCTTGATTTTAATTTTTTTTGATTTACGGTATTGTGTGTTTCATTTGAACAGTTCTGTTGAAGCAGACATTGAAGCAGCCAGGTTAATTCAACCCAGATCATCACACCAAGGTAAGTCAACTACATTTTAGAAGCAATTTTTAGGTGTATGCTTTGTAGTAGAGTGGTTAGAACACCTACATGTACATGTACATGTAGCTTGAAATTTGAATAGGTACATGTAGTTGTCATAACCCTTCAACTTAGTCTGAAGATACTGAATAGACTCCATTTGGTTTCGGTTCATTGTGTACCGTAATTAACGGTGTACATGTATAAACCGCCCTCGTGTATTAACCGCACCCCTCTTTTTCGCCCTAAAATATTTTTTTTTTAAATGCCAGGTCCGTGTTAAAAGAGAGAGAGAGAGACTTGAATTAGAGAAAGACAGAGAGAGAGAGAGATACAAAAAGATAGTAGTAGCAGTAGTAGCAGTGGTGGTGGTGGTAGTGGTACTAGTAAATGTAGGAGTAGTAGCAGTAGTAGCAGTGGTGGTGGTGGTAGTGGTACTAGTAAATGTAGGAGTAGTAGGAGTAGTAGCAGTGGTGGTGGTGGTAGTGGTACTAGTAAATGTAGGAGTAGTAGTAGTAGTAGCAGTGGTGGTGGTGGTAGTGGTACTAGTAAATGTAGGAGTAGTAGCAGTAGTAGCAGTGGTGGTGGTGGTAGTGGTACTAGTAAATGTATGAGTAGTAGCAGTGGTGGTGGTGGTAGTGGTACTAGTAAATGTAGGAGTAGTAGTAGTAGTAGCAGTGGTGGTGGTGGTAGTGGTACTAGTAAATGTAGGAGTAGTAGCAGTAGTAGCAGTGGTGGTGGTGGTAGTGGTACTAGTAGGAGTAGTAGTAGTAGTAGTAGTAGTGTCATTTCATGCTTTAACGTCGATCTGGCGCTGCTCAGTGGCTGCCGGGCTCACGATCAAATGGGCAAAAAGAATTTCCATTTTCGGTTTAACTTAATAATATTTGGAGTTTAAAAGATTATTATTATTATTATTATTATTATTATTCATCCCTTTTGTAAAGATCTGACCATGTTAAGACCTCTTTTACCTTAAAGTGCCCAATAATCCTCACAACAAATCTCAACACAACTCCCCTGACAATCTTTCCCAAATATGCATTCATTCAAAATGTGAACCAGGAATGGGATCCATTGATTTTATGACGCATGGCAGATGATTGTTCCCCTTCAGGCCAGTATGCATCTACCTGGATCTTACAACTCTCAGGTCCCAAGGATCTCATTTTTATTTACTTTTTCCTTTCAAAATTGAAGAAATTTTAAAAACATACACTCCACAAATGCCATTCAATCTAAGTTTGAATAAATTTTTGTAACTATCTACTAGCTTCACACTTCTAATTTTTCTATTTTTGTCCATCGTTGACTATACAGTACATTATATATAAATTATATAAATTGTGAGGATCCAAATTGTTATATTTTCCTGGTCGGTCACTTTTCGGTGATTTTTATCAATGCATGTCGTCCTCTTGAGGACTGTATGTCACCAATTACAAACATTAAGCCATTACCGAGGGTCTTTTTTTTTTTCCCCCTTGAAATGATTTTTTACACATTTTTTTTTTCATTTTTTTTTTTCTCCCTTGAAATTCAATTTTTTTTTTTTAATAAGAATTTGTTTTTTCTCCTTGAATTATCTCGAAATATTTTCCAAAAAAAAGTTGTTGCACTTCTTTTTCTAAAAAATGTTGATTGTCCCCCCCCCCCCCAAAAAAAAAAAACCATTTCCAGAAAGTTTGTTTTCTGCCATTTTATATGACACCTCAATCAAGAAAAGTGAGCCAGGAATAACAAAGTTCTGTTTGTTTAAAGTAATTCTTGCATTTCCATAATTTTATTCAACAAATTCGTTTTCACTGGCTGCCTTCCGTAAAAAGTACATTTGCCCTGACAGTCGGGCAATTTTTCAAGATGGCCGCCTGCATTTTTATTTTGTTTTTTTGTTTTTTTATCAGAAATACATCCATTTTAGCAGTGTTATTCTTGTGTTTTTGTTTTTTGTTTTTTTAATTAAAAAAAATTTAAAATTAAAATTTATTTTAAAAAAAAGAGGCGGCCCCAAAAAAGGAAGTGGGCGGGGATGCTAAACATGAATATTTTTTTTAATGGCCTTACATTGGGCAATATCCACTACTTCCTTCTAAATCAGAGAGCACTGCAGTGTATTATTGTAAATGTATAAACCTGATACTGTATCAATACTGTATACTCTATAGGTCAGAATGTATTTGTACATTACAGTTACACTCGTACTGTATACATGTAGTTTATACCAGCAGAACCTCCATGAAATTTGACACTTCACATTTGCCTTGTGTTCTGTGATTTGTTTGAAGATTAAGCCCTGCTGTGCTGTCAAGTTTACAAACATGTTTTCATTCAAAATAATATTCATCCTTAGAAATCGTTGAACATTGCTCTTTAATCAATGTTAACATTCATCATGATAGCACTTTTATGTACATGTACCATCAGCAACCGTGGCACTTCAAGTTCATGTTTTGAATTGCCAATTGTGAGGGCCTGCACATGAAATATTAATCAAAACATGACAAAATTCAAACAACAAAATTATGCGTACCAATACAAGTGTAACCATTGAAAACTGATTAAATGACAATGCTTGGTTGTACCATTGAATAACAACGACTGGATTTGATTTCAATCTTATCTTTGGGTGGGGGCTGGGGCATCTTTTGATACACCTGTACATATTGCACATATAACAATTTCATGTTGAAAATGAAACTGAAGATTATAGCCATTACATGTAGCCATTAGCCAATGATCTGTACAAGCTCAGAGTGAAATTAAAAATGAAAATTTAGAAGGTCAGAAAAACTGCATGTAAGAACACAAAAATGGATGATGAATATAAATTATAATCTCCCCTCCCTACCCCCCCCCTTTTTTTCCCCCCTCCGTCTCTCTCTCTCTCTCTCTCTCTCTCTCTCTCCCCCTCCCTCTTTTTCCTTCTCTCTGTCTCTCTGTCTCTTTTACCATCTCTCTTACTGTAATATACATGTAGTCAGATGTTCATGTCTTGTATAGCTGCATATTGTTCTTTTTAGATGATATACAGTATAAAACTCCATTTTTATGTAATTATCTTGTTTTATATCTTCTGAGTGTCAAGTGTCCTAGGCCTGAGGTGCCATACTACATTTATACGCCTTTTACCAGAACCCATTATTCTTTTTATTATTGAATAAAGAAACTACAGATTTTTATGTCGTTTCGTATTACAAACCACTGCATTTCCATTTTAAATGGGAAGAGCACTTTACATGTCGCATTCGTGAATGACCTTTTCTATATTGTGATACCCTTGGTGAGACACAGAAAGATAGAAATTGAGGGTAATAGACAGAGAGAGAGAGAGAGAAAGACAGACAAACAAGAGAGAGAGAGAAAGGTAAGGAAAAAAAAGAGAGGGAAATTATAAATAGAGTGAATTTGAAGAAGACAGAGAGGGAGAGAGAGAGAGGGAGAGACATCGAGTGCTTGAATAGCAAAGGAGAAAGAAAAATTAGTGACGATGACATCATACCCTCACTTTTGTTTGTGCATGTCTCTCTACTTCCATTTCCACCACCCTTATACCAGATTGGCGAGGGAGAAGTCGATCTCACGGTTTATCAGTACTGGGTAATATCACATCACAGGCAGGCAGGCAGTCAGGCAGGCTAGATCCACTTCCTTTCTGTTTTCCTGCATTTGCTTTATGTACCATAAATGTGGAATCTCGCCTTTTCTTACAATGTTTGGTGAGATACACAAGTGAAATTGGATATATTTGGTGGTGAGACTTGGCTGCATGTGAAGCGCCTTTCTTGGAGAAGAAAGTGTCAGAGAAAAGCAGTCCATTTGGGTAACAATTTTAATTGATGATTTAATGAGGATCGAGCTGCACTGTACAATTGCTTCTCTTCTGCCTTCTTGTTGTTTGTCATGACCCAACAGAATTATGACTGTACGTCTCGAGACTGGTGAGTGCATTGGAATTAATTTCTATCAAGGTCAAGAGATATTTGAGAGATATTCAGATTATATTTCCTCACCGAGTCTTCATCTACTCTCTGCACTGGTTGAAATTATGGCACCATGACAAAATGCCATACAACTTATAAATTGGAGAGCTCCAAAAAGGTTTTATAATCTAATTATCCATCAATCATGTACTGGAGATAGATTGTCATGAAAGTGGACTCTGCAGTTTTTATTTATATGGCCTTTTATCAAGGGTTCAGCCTGGACTGGATTTTGCTGTTTGTAGACTCCATTTACCAAATGTGTAGGTCATGCTGAAATACAATGTCATCTTGAAAATTGTGGTAATAAATACATGTAAATGAAATGAATTTTTGTTTAAATCCTTAGTCATACACCATATGTGTACAAATTCTGTGAAAGTGAATAACATCTTGAACTTGAAGCAGTCGGGTAAAATAACCACCACTAAAACCATGAACGTTTCATTTGTTGTTTTTGTTGTGCTGTTAATACATGTAATCTATTGTTTTTTATACGTGTAGGATTAGGAATACATGTACTAAATCTATTTGAACCATATCAAATATCCATGGTGTAAATGACTCTTAAAAAGAGTTTTAATCATGTACATGTATGTTGCAGTTATTGTTTTTGTTGTTCTTTTTTTCTGTTTCTTCTCTGTACTAGTATTTGCTTTTGTTTTTGCTGATCTGGATACTTTCTCAAAGAAATAACTGTACATGTGTGTAATTTCACTGTGAAAGGTGATAGTACATGTATACTGGTACTGTTAATGTTTTATCATTCCATGATTCAAGGATTCTGTCTACTTCCTGTCTGATTTCCTGAACTCAAGAAAATGTTTAGTTCTTGGAAGACTTAAGGATATTCATCCAATTTGTATATTTTATTCTCCCGTGAAAGTATATTTCCTTTCAAGATGCATTAAAATCATTCTGAAAAATTTCTCACAATTCATTTTAGGCATATAATTGGCATCCATTAATTTCACAAGTACCGTTGTCAATTTGTAGTACATACATTGTACATGTAGTATACACGCACAAGTGTACATTGTATGTTTTATATGGATCATTATTGTGTATTAATATGTATTTCATAATTTATATATTTGTTTATCCGTTAATTCATATATTTATTTATTCATATCCATTTATGAGTGTTATTTTTCCATTAGCTTCAGAGATATTTGTATAGACCAACATAGAGCGTAAATACCGGTAGCTCACTATTCTTTTTCAACCCAACTGAGTGACCCTTTTTTTCAGTCAACATCTTTAGCAAGATTGGTAACTCTCATTAAAGTTTTGTTGGTCTGTAGTGAGATTTATGGCACCAAATGGTAGCCCTACCAACTTTTCTGGTGTATATAACAAATATAGCTGGGTGAGACACTAGCAGGTGCCCCGGACACATGGATGCTCAAAATCTGAGTCTGGACCCCCAAGATTTTAAAATGTTTTTACATTGGGCTCATGCATACATGTACAGATTGTAAAAAAGTTCAAACTGGACCCCTTTCCAAAAAATTGAGCCCTGTGTATAGGGAATGCAATTTTGAGAAATGCCCCAGTGACTGATTACTGTAAAAGTAGAAATATTTGTGTTCATTAATTTTCGCGGATTTCGAGCTACATGTACTTTTGTCAGTTCGGCAAGTGCAAATTTTAGAACTCGCAAGAATATTAAGCATGACTTCTTTCGTGTGTTGTGAACGGGCTGAATTGCGTGCAACGAGAATTTAAGAACCAGCTAATGTGTTTTGGGGTCGCTCAGTGCGAAAAATTAATCAGGCAAAAATAACAGCGTTAAAAGTAATGGATATGAATGCACTTACATGTACTGTATGTAGTATAAGATGAACTTAAATGAGATTAGCAGAGCTATGAATGAATGATGAGTGATGAAGATGAAAATTCATGGTTGTTTGAAATGAAGGCAATACGTCTTGAATTAGTGACAGAAGATGAGTGCCATGGGAATCATAAGCGATAAATGTGCCTGATTATTAAGAGCATTATAATCAGCAAAAATGTGCGTCATAGGCCTTTGGAACGTTCTTGGAGCAGAGCACCATGATCTGGTCAAAGTCAATGTTTTCTTACTTCAGTGTGGGCTGGCATAATTGGAAACGGTAGTGATGCCTTTATGTGAAGGAAGCACAAGCACAATTACATGTACCCGTATTTGGGCATTTACAGGAAATAATGTGTCAGGGGTGTCAAGAGAAAGTTTGTTGATTAAAGGTAAATTTCACAGTCTTGGTCAAGGTAATAGAGTGCTAAAAATGCATTTTTCTTGTTGGTCTTATGACTCTTATCCCCTTTAGAGTTTAGACTACCAGCATTCATTGTATAGCTTCATGATTCTCGTATAGATAAACTAGGTAATTTTTTCTTCCCTAGTCTGTATATCGAAAAGCCAGTATGAGCGTCGTTTTAAAGAAAAACTAGTTTGAACGTCCGATCGTATGGAAATCATTTAACTAGGCAAGGCTTATTGTGAGCACTCTCTGATCTGGCTAATTGGTCAGCTAATTGGCCAGCTATCATGTCAATTGAACTCTTCAAAACTGGTTTCTTTAATGCAATTAACACTGTACATTTCTTCCTGCGATGTTGATCTCTAGTCTATATTCTGTATGCTTCTTTAGCTACTGTACACAATGATTCTTTATACAACATTTTTTTATACAAGTTTTCTATAGTTTCCCTGAAGTCATAACGTGCTACATGTATACACCAGTCTGTTTCAAGTGCTGGTAGCTTTGGGGGTATTATTAATAAAGGTGACAGAATAGAATAATTTGGATTGATCTCTTGCCAGAAAAATCTGTTTTCTTAATCAATATGTTCAATTTGCCTGTAAAGCGACAGCAATTCAATTCAATTCAATTCATATTTTTCCACTAAACTCATATTAAAACAGTAGAATTTGTAAAACAATGCAGAAATGAAATTGACTTATTATAATAGAGACAAAAACGTAATCAATGAAGAATGATACACCCTTAAAATGATAATTGAGTATATATGTGAAGGGCTAGCTAGCAAAGGCCCAATGCCTATCAAGGGGTAATCACCAGCGAGGTTGGGATGAGAAAGTAATTGAGCTCAATAAAATTATGCAATCGGTTAAGATAAAATATGGAACAATGCAAACCTATAAATATGCCATTCTGAATTTTCCATCATGCTATAAGGTGTGTTTTTTTTACTTCTAGAGAGTGTACAAAATATACTTACATGTACACATGTAGACCCACACATATATCTACCTTCATGTAAACAACAATTTGCAGCAGAACTTGAAAACCATGATGTAATCAAATTTATTACACAAATCTGTGTTACATTGTAAGTGCCCCATTACAAATTTGTTCATTCATCTGTTACGATTAATTGTATTTCAATAGTAAGAAATGTGAATTGGATACACCTTCTGTGTCATTATGTAGGACAAGCCATAATGTTTTTCCTTCCAAGCAACATTAATGTATGCAATCTGCACTTTTGAAATACAATTATTTGTATCAGGTGAATGGAATGATTTGTAACATGTCACTTAACAACCTGCATGATTACTGTTCATTACGAAAATGGCCTATTGAAACATCATGAACACATAATGGGACAGCATGATCTATTTGACAGCTGACTGTCTAGTGTCTGCCTTAATGTTTTAACCTTTTTTGCGTGTTTGTCGATCACCTTCATGGATTATACGTATTTCTTAGTTATTAACCAATTTGAATTCTCTCATTGTGAATTTGATTGGATTCTGTGACTGAAGATTTTGTTTTGGTTTTTTTTCTGTCGTTACTGGAACTCAGACTATCTCTAACCAAAACTAAATCAACGGTGGTTTGTTCTGCTTGATTTCCTTAGAGTATATCCCCACTAGGTGTGTCTTCATCAGCTCGAGATTGCCAAATATCCAGCTATTTGAACTATCCCGATCGCAAACTATCCAGCTAATTTGCGTCCTCATCAGACCAAAGTAGCAATTAGCGGGATATTTGGTCGGGATTGTCATCCCAAGATATCTTGGGCTAGATTGCAAAATATCTCGCTATTTGGTAAAGTATTCCGCTTTTTGTCCTGTGCGTCTTCACCAGCCCCGAAGACTCGCACTATCCGCGAACGCTGAGCAAAATATTTCGAGCTAATTTCTTGAGCTAGAGATTCAAGTTTCGAGGTCAAATCTCGAGCTGATGAAGACGCGATTTGTAACTTCAGGATTATTTCCCAAATCAGAAATAGCGGGCTATATTTGGCAATCTTGAGCTGATGAAAACACGCCTACTGATACCTCAATTTCTATTACAAGAAATATCCTGATTGAAATCAAGTCCTGGGGAGGGATCACTATGGAGGAGGTAATCTTTCTCTCAACACATTATCATGGGACATTGGATTATTTTTGGGGATGATATGAATTCATTATTCATAGTACTTAGCACTTTGAAATCTGGGTGAAATTGAGTGGGAGAAGCCATTGTACTATACAACCCGAACATGATGCTTCATATTATATGTCATTGCAGTTCCTATTGCGAAAATAGTAATACAATAGACTGAATTTGGAGTTATTTTCAGATCTCCATAAATAATATACCACAGCCTCTATTCAAAGAACAACCTCCCTCCCCCAGAATATGGAGTAATTTTCAGATCTCCATAAACAACATACTGTACCAGAGCCCTTTTAAATTCAAAGAATAACCTCTCTACCCTACAGTTTAAGATCAGTCCCCCTGTCCACACACAACATTTTCCGTGATTAGTTATACCGTTTCGCGATAGTGATACCGTTTCGCGATAGTTTTACGATGAAATTGTGTGTGTGGACGCTCACTAACGATACGTCGTATAACGAAACTAGTCTAACGAAATGCAGGTTTGGGCATCGTTTCGAACTGAAAGTCAATAAAGAATCACGCCTAATCACGAAAATGTTGTGTGTGGACAGGGGGAG